CAGGTTTATATTATTCTCATAAAAACAATTTCATTTTTTTTCCTTAAAGGTATTAATCGATGACGCATTTCAGGCGCGTACGCATGATTTTTTAAAGGGGCCGGGTTTAACGTTTTTAAATCGGGCCGAAAATTTCGCAAGGGGGGGGGGGGGGGGGGGGGGGGGGGGGGGGTAGGTAAAAGGACACTTTTTTTGGTCTCGAAATTTTAAAATTTGACATTTTACTCCGTTGGGGGGGGGGGTAAGGTCAATTTTTTTAGGCCAGCCATTGTTATAATTTTTGTATATATATATATATATATATATATCTTCTTCTTTTTTTTTAATAAAAATAAAAATAATAATTACCAAAGGGGGGAGGGGGTTTCCTCCGAAATGCACACATAAAAAATACCAAAGGGGGGGGGGGGGGGGTTCAACCCCCAACCCCCCCCCCCCCCCCCCCCCCCCCCCCCCCCCCCCCCGGCGTACGCGCCTGACGCATTTGATATTTCATTACTTAACACATTCCCAAAATTTGGACCTTGATATATAAATGTTTTGTGAGCTAAGGGGGTCCGTAAGAGAGGTAAATGAAAATCGTCCGAATGTCTTGTTGGGTAATTTCGAGCTGACCTATTAAAAAAAACATTTCTTGAAAAGCAGATGGCAAAATATTATTTTGTATAATTGTGCATAAATTTACCTAGTTGGAAAAAATATGTCTTTTACCTTTATTAAAAAAAAATAAAGAGTCTGTATGGGAGCGAAAGGGGGAATTACAAATAATACGAATGATCTTCTTTTGTAATAACAGCACTTTATCTAATGACGTTTGATGTGTGTTACCCAAAATAAGAGACCATAGTTGAAGCATAGGAGTATCAAAGAACTATAAAGCATAAACAATTAATTAAGAGGAAGAAATGTCTTTACTTATTAAAGTTTTTTCTAAAATCAAATGCTCGACGGCGAATGGCCCCGATAATATTTCAGCACGCCTAATCCATAATTTTTCTGTTGAACTCTCGGGACCTTTAACCTATATAATTAACGCTTCTTTTAGTCAAAAAAAAGTTCCGGCCTCCTGGAAATGCGCTCGATCCCAAAGGTGAATCCTGCACGTATTGACAAACTCAGACCTATATCATTAACAGACCATTTTGCTAAAGTCATTGGAGGTTTCACCGCGAAGTGGATGTTCCAGGACTAGGAGCGTACGCAGGATTTTTTTCAAGGGGGGGGGGGGGGGTTAAATTTTCGCAACGACTCAGCCAGCCGCTGAATAAGCGGGGGGGGGGGGGGGGGGTAAGAGGATATATTTATTTTTTTTTTGGGGGGGGGGGGTCTCAAAAATTTCGCAACAACTCAGCCAGCCGCTGAATAAGCGGAGCGGGGGTAAAAGGTCCTTTTATTTTTTTTTACCAAAATTTGAAAATTTGTCGGATCGTCATTTTGTTCCGTTGGGGGGGGGGGGGGCGATAAGGTCACCTTTTTGAGGTAGCCCATTAGCATAATTTTTTGTATTATTAATTTAAAAAAAAAACACCCTCAGGGGGGGGGGGGTTCCTCCAAAATACACACATACAAAATACCAAAGGGGAGTTAACCCCCAAACAATTCCCCCCCCCCCCCCCCCCCCCCCTCTGCGTACGCGCCTGACCAGGACATCGTCCAGCATATTGACCCCTATCAGTTTGGAAACCAGAAATGCTTATCGACCTCACATTGTTTTATTAATATTCTTCATCATGTTTTTTTAAACGCTGAGGTACCAAAAACGTCATCGACGATACTTCTCACAGATTTTCAAAAAGCGTTTGATAGAATAGATCACACAATTGCCATAAAAAAAGTTAATTAAAATTGGTGTACGACCAGCGGTAGTTTACTGGATATCTTATTTTCTTTCTGAACGTAAACAAAGAGTTCGCTATCACATCGATCTCTCAGAATGGTGTCAAACAAATGCAGGTGTGCCCTAGGGTACGAAACTTGACCCCTTATTTTTTGTGATGATAAATGATTTCAAATCTTCTGAAAGCATACATGTACATATGTTTAAAATATGTCGATTATCTAACCCTAATTGAGTGTCGTAAATCAAACAAAATTGTATATGTGCAAGAACCTGTAGAATGTCTATCTTTGTGGGCTGACATTAATAAAATGCAATTGGATCCTACAAAGTGTATTAGAATGGACTTTTGCTTTTCTAGAGTACCAGTCAATCAGTCTTCCATCATTATCGAACATTATGTTTTTAATCAATATTGAGTGGTTAATATGTATGATAAAAGTACGATACATTGCAGTGGTGCCGAACATTATTTTCCACCATTTATTCATGTCAGAACTGCGCATGCTCTCTATATTTTCTTCGAAGGCACTACTGCGCGTGCTCACGTTTATTGACAAAAATGTGTGTCAAATTCGAACGCACAGTCGACCAGCTGAGCGAGTTCTTTAAAGGAAACCTAAACCCAAAGAATAAGTGTAGGTATTCTGAAAAATGAGATGTATTCCTGCTCTTTGATGTACAATATTCCTTACAAAAATGTACAAGATATATATAAATGAAGATATTCCTGGCATGATGTGATGCCTGTCAGCATGACATGGGCGCAGCCATTTTCTTAAAAATGTGACGTATCTGTTGAAGTTGTAGTCATGTATTATGCACCAAGCTTTAGTTGGAATTTTTTTTTTTAATCGATAGAGTACCGAAGCTGTGACGTCATAAAAATCTATTTTTAGAATTTCTCAATTTTTTCTTCATTTTCCGAAAGAACATCAAAAATAATGTCCAAATGTCGAAAACCAATTGAATATGTTAAATATTGGCTGAGATATGACCATATGAATAAATATACTCCCCATAGGAACTCAGTGTTATATGCTCTGGCTCCTAATGGTTAGGAGCCAGAGCATATAACACTGAGTTCTCATAGGACATATATTCATTCAGATGGTCATAACTCAGCCAATACTTAACATATTCAATTGGTTTTCGAAATTTGGACATTATTTTTGGTGTTCTTTCGGAATATGAAAAAAATTGAGAAATTCTAAAAATAGATTTTTTTTATGACGTCACACTTCACCACTCTATAACGAAACCTTTACTTTTCAATGAAAAAAAATAACAACTGAGATGATAGAAATTATATTAGGTGAAAAATAAATAACAGGGGCACAATTGTAACAAAGTCATTTATAAATACTACACTAAGCAGTTTACAAATCTATTTCATTTATGAGAAACCTTCAACCCAGAAGAGCACTAACTAATTTATGCAATTTGCGTTCTGGCAATTGTAGTACAAAGGATAATAGCAGGTGAATGAAATGCTTCATCACAACACACGTCTGGGAAAGAAGCATCCATAAATTTGATTACATTTACTTGATAAACGACTTCGCATAGTACGTCACATTGTCTAGCAAATGGCGATGCCTATGTCGTGCTGAGAAACTGTACTTTATTTGTACTTTGTACCTCTCTCATACACTTTGGTGAGGAATCTTGTAGATATATGGGTACTAACATAATAAATCTCTCAGAATAAGTAATTTTGTTACTTGGGGTTCGGTTTCCTTTAAGGGGTTTACAGCTGATTTTTGTTTAAAGCAATCCATAAAACACAAGGTATTGTCATAATTGCAAGGCAAGATATCATACAATCAGTTCTTACCACTACATACCTACAATTTAGAGGATATCTGCTCTCAAACTGAAGATTTCCAAAGCCTTGTCGGTAAGTCAATCATTTTTCGGAACGGACGCGAATGACTGCAAAATTTGCCAATCTTTTGTCAATATTTTCATAATTTCATACCCAATTCCGAGGAAAATTCCGTCTCTGGTTTATGGCGCTACTTCAGAAGTCTATCCAGACTTCGACCCGGAACTCCGGCGTGGAGATACCATTAAAACATTCCGTAAATCGACTAAATCTTCATCAATTGTTCAAATAATGGTCATGATTTAAAAGTCGTTATGTTTCTTACCTGTTTTGTGTCAATTTTCTTGTCTTTTTTGGAGTATTTCTCCTAAAAACACAGACTTATGCGGGGTGCGAGCGTGCGCGTGATCGACCGAATTGATGAATTGCTTAGATTACAGTCGCTATCTTAACACACGCGCGCGCCCGCACCCCACCGTCGGTACGGTGTGCAATTGTATTGTGTAGCAGTTTGCCGTGAATCCCGTGAGAAAGTGTAAAGGCCTAAATCTTTGGCTGACATGTTTTATTCTTTTATTCTTAGCGACGATCATGGCTCAAATCCCTCCCCGGGTGATGCAGACCCAAGCCCCTTACCAAGGGATGCGGTTCCAAGCCTTTCCTAATTACCAAGGGATGACGGCCCAAGGCCTTCTTTACCAAGGGATGACGAATCAACCTCCTCTCCAAGCGACCACGATCCAACCTTCTCTCCAAGCGACCACGATCCAACCTCCTCTCCAAGGGATGACGACCCGAACCTTTCCTTACCAAGGGATGATGTTCCAAGCCTTTCCTTACCTAGGGACGACGACTCAACCTCCTCTCCAAGCGACCACGACTCAACCTCCTCTCCAAGCGACCACGATCCAACCTTCTCTCCAAGCGACCACGATCCAACCTCCTCTCCAAACGACCACGACTCAACCTTCTCTCCAAGCGACCACGATCCAACCTCCTCTCCAAACGACCACGACTCAACCTTCTCTCCAAGCGACTACGATCCAACCTCCTCTCCAAACGACCACGACTCAACCTTCTCTCCAAGCGACCACGATCCAACCTCCTCTCCAAACGACCACGACTCAACCTTCTCTCCAAGCGACCACGATCCAACCTCCTCTCCAAACGACCACGACTCAACCTTCTCTCCAAGCGACCACGATCCAACCTTCTCTCCAAGCGACCACGATCCAACCTCCTCTCCAAGCGACCACGATCCAACCTCCTCTCCAAGGGATGACGATCCAACCTCCTCTCCAAGGGATGACGACCCAAACCTTTCCTTACCACGGGATGACGACCCAAGCCCTTTCTTACCTAGGGATGACGACTCAACCTCCTCTCCAAGCGACCACGACTCAACCTCCTCTCCAAACGACCACGACTCAACCTTCTCTCCAAGCGACCACGATCCAACCTCCTCTCCGAACGACCACGACTCAACCTTCTCTCCAAGCGACCACGATCCAACCTCCTCTCCAAACGACCACGACTCAACCTTCTCTCCAAGCGACCACGATCCAACCTCCTCTCCAAACGACCACGACTCAACCTTCTCTCCAAGCGACCACGATCCAACCTCCTCTCCAAACGACCACGACTCAACCTTCTCTCCAAGCGACCACGATCCAACCTCCTCTCCAAACGACCACGACTCAATCTTCTCTCCAAGCGACCACGATCCAACCTCCTCTCCAAACGACCACGACTCAACCTTCTCTCCAAGCGACCACGATCCAACCTCCTCTCCAAACGACCACGACTCAACCTTCTCTCCAAGCGACGACGATCCAACCTCCTCTCCAAGCGACCACGATCCAACCTCCTCTCCAAGCGACCACGGTCCAACCTCCTCTCCAAGGGATGACAACCCACGCCCCTCCCCAAACGACGACGACCAATGTCCCTATCCTAGCGAGTAAGTCGATCCAACCTATGCACAGGGAGATGACGAAGACACAATCTCCTCTCCGAGCCGTAAGCCGAGCGACAACGAAAAAGATGACGATCCAAGCTCCTGCAAGTCTAAAGCCGATGACCAAAGCTGCGCATCGAGATATGGAGACGGCCAATGCTATACATGTTTTCCAAGATGTAAAGTAAGTTCGTATGGAGTTTCTAAAAAAAATATCTTCATTTTAATGAATATACATACTTTTTCACTTTGTACAGTTACAACATAACAGTATCTTGGTGCTCCAGCATGAATTCCAAGGTTAAAATTAGGTTGGAATATTGAGGATACTATCATGTATCGATGTGCAGAAAGGCATGATAGAATTGATGATAATGATGGGATTAATAGGATTACAAGGGATGCATATGCTGAATAGGATGATGTTTATACAAATTGTTTGTGTTTGCACCCTTGATTTATACATTTTTTAAAAGATAAACATACCCAACTTGTTTTGTAAAACATGAAGTCTCTTTATTTAATATATTGGCATATCATTTTCATTATAGTAAGCTATTGGTGAAACTGGTCTCTCCTTTCATTAATTACTCATCTCTCATTCTCGTCTTTTCCCATTTAGGATATCTTTCTCTCTGTCCCATCGTAACTAATCTATATTTCTGCAAACCCAATATCTTTCTTGCTGCATCATCCAGTCTATCTTATTGATCCCGCATTAAAACTATCCTCGTTTTATTTCAATCACCTGTTTGGCCTGAGTTACAATTTCTACCCACACATCACAATCGAACATGCTCATCAATATCTGTATCATTGTATTTATGTATGCACCCTTACATAAATATATGTTTTTTTGCACACCACATAATACACTGTTGGTCATAATGGTGGAATAATTATTTTTACCCCCAATTTATGGACTGATTTTGACAATGATTTATTCCTAATAGATCTAGAAAATATACATTCTTAAATTTTATTGAATAATAATGAGTGAGTGTTTGTTTTGCATGACAGCTCAATCATGTGTATGCTACTATGCTAATCAACTAGGGGACCTACGTCCTAAAGTCACAACTGACAGTAATGAGGATTAATGCCTCATAAACGGACATTAATATAGCACATCGACATGGTTTTGATCCTGGGGGCTCACAGTAACGAGACCATTGCTTAGCCACTGAATCATGACTGTACGCAGCGGGGGCTAGGGTACGTTGCCGCCCCCACAAATACCAAAAAACGATAATAAATTATCAATAATTCATAGCATTTTGCCCCGACCCCTTACATTAAAAAAAAATCCTCTATGGGGGCATGCCTTGAACCATAATGCATGGCCCTACAGAGGAATTTTTCCTGTTGGGGACCGGGGGGGGGGAATGCAATGAATTATTGATAATTTATTGCATTTTCTTTGTTTTTTTTGTATTTGATTCAGTGGCTAAGCAATAGCCTCGGTACTGTGAGGCCCAAGAATTTAAAACCGTGTCGATCAGCTATATTAGTGCCCTTTTGTGAGGCATTAATCCTCATTACTGTCAGTTATGAATTAAGGACGTAGGTCCCCTAGTTTATTAGCATAGTAGCACACACATGATTGAGCAGTCACGCAAAACAAACACTCGCAAATTGTTATTTAATGACATCTGAGAATGTACGCTATTATTTAGATCTATTAGGAATAAATCATTGTCAAAATCATTCTATAAATTGAGGTAAAAATAATTATTCCACCTTTATGACCAACAGTGTATATACTGTTGTTTTCCCCTTCTCTTTTAAGTAAAATATATTTTGCTAAATTTTCATTTTAATCGTATCGTTTGTATTGCAGAAGAGGAGTTAATTACCGGCATGACCGTGGACCGTCATGTCCGACTCATGTTGTCAACAACAGTAAAGCCGGGTGGTATACGAGCGACGTACTGCTGGGACCAAACATGCACAGGGATAGCAGAGAACAAAGGGGTGTTCCAAGAAGGGCTCCAAAGAAGTCGTCTAGTTGCCGTGATCGAAAAGGACACAAGACTCAAAGAGATGGCAACCGTTTTCTTAGAGTAGGTTTATTTTTCTACTTCTTTAACAGTAAAGCATACTCATATTATAAATTTGAGTGATTGACTTCGCAATACAATCTACAACAATATGCAATGTACGGTACATTGTACAAGCGAGATGGGGTGTGGTTCTATTGTGGGTGTTACCAAGTTCATTCTACATGCTCACATATATGTAGATATTGATAATCTTCCGATGACGTCAACAATTTTTGAGTAATTTCCAGTTTTCATCATATTACGTCTGTGTATCCATTTGCTTGTTATGTTTAGAAGCGACGTATAATTGATGCATATCAATTGATATTTGTTCTACCAATTTAAGGATATTGAGCAAAAGCCCACATTCGACGTCTACCTTTCACATCAGAGACAACACCGTGATATTAACTCATCCAGAAAGAGGCTACGCAGACGGAACACAAAACGAGACAACGCTGGACTTGCGAACATCGAGGATAAGGTGATTCATCACAGCACATTCATTATCTATCATTTTCTTAAATTTCTCTTTATTACAACATGCACTCATGTAAATCCCCCCCTCCCTGCGGATCAACTCTATCTTTCAATAAAAGCGTTACATTTTGTATTTTATTTTTATAATTTATATGTTTTGAATAATCATATTCTCTTTACAAGGAGCAATCGGTCAATGCAATGCAGAATAAACTTCAAGAAAGATATATTTCAGACTTTTGGGGAAATATTTTCCAGAAAATGCAAATGGCTATTGGATAAGATTGACAACTTATAAAAGCCAACACAAATAAATGAATGACTTAAATTCAATTGGATGATTAACCAACAAGTTGCATACACTAGTTACTTTAAGAAAATGTATATATTGATATTTGAGGCTAGTAGATATTTGTATAATAGACTACATTTAAGAAAAGGCATTTTACCCACTTGGGGGTGATGATTATTTGTATAACTAAACTTTTTATTTTTGTCGCATATGCATCTCTTCTTTTTAATAGGGCAAGAAGTCTAAGAAAAAATTCGAGCCGCTAGAAGGATCACCAGATGAAAGGAAACTGTTCACTAAAGGTAAATGCTCACAGTTAAACTTTGATGTGATTGCAAATGCCATGGTTCAGGTGATTGATAGTCCAGATATCCCGCAATTTGACCGTATATTTTACGAAGATGTTGCAAAAAAGCTTGGTTGGCCAACTTCTCGCCCCCCCCCCCCCCAAAAAAAAAAAAAAAAATATATATATGTTGTACTTTAAAGGGTTCTATGTCCCATTTGCAGCCAACATCAAATTATGTAGAACTGTGCAGGAATTATGAATATGTCATGTATGTCCTCTCTGTTGAATTTAAACCTTAGCAGTGTCCTCATATTCAAATTATGCAAGGAAACCCGTTTACTTTCTAGATTTCACTGTCAGACACTATTGAGTGACTGACTGACCTCTTTTTTCCGTTGGTTATACTAATAACATACATAAAATGAGCTGTAAATGGTATATGAGCATTTGTCTACATCAATAACCCACCTTTTTTTTTAATGGCCAAAATTAAACTGATTCAATCTTTGCGCAGCACAAATTGTACGACCATTCGGTAAAAGGGTCTGAAAATCAGACTATAACTAAATGAATTGCAATCACGAAAGTCGAATTCGACAACTAACAGCCGTTATTTTCCCACTAAAAGACATTTTCAAGCCCTTTCGTTTTGAGGGAAGTTCTAAATAAGTATTATCTTTCAAATGCCGTGGGAATTTAACTTTTTCATCTTTGGCCTGCAAATGGGACATAGTACCTTTAAGACGTTACGGAAATGGGAATGGTGGAAATCTGAAAAATAAATTCAAAGATATTGTACAGTCAACTCATTCAGACTCAAACAAAAAGTTTGAGGGGGTTCAGTCAGCAAGCAATACAGGCTAGCATAGGCCTACCTATGATAGTCAAATTATTTTGACATTTGACTTGGGACCTAGACGTTAAAAAACGAAACGTATGTCTGAAAATTGGATGGTGTATGGCAATGGGAAAAAAGACCAAGCTCACTATTGTATTTGCAAAAAAAATCTGATAAAACTTTACAATATATGCAGTGCGATGGTTGCAAGGCATGGTACCATTTCTCATGTATGAATATCCCACAGACAATTATTGCGTGTGGTCGGGAGGGGGGGGGGGTTCATTCTGTTGTGGGCAGAATGTATGCAACAACGGAAAATATGAATTGATGGGGACACTTACATGTTCAATGAGTACACATATTGATGTCAATCAAAACAACACAAACGAAAACGAATCAGAGGAGCAAGCTTCTGCTCCAATTTCAAACGCTATTCTCACTGATATTCATGAAAATGACACACATTTTACCGACGGGCAAATAGACAATTCCAATAGTGATGATGGTAATAACGATGAAAAAGTTTTTACATATCAACTACCGGAACAGGGCTCATTTATTTTCCCACAAAACGAATGAAGAAAGCTCAGAGTAAAACAAAAAGGGCGAAAGTTCTACAAAACGATAATAACGGAAGGCATCAAAACAAGTAATCCCTTCTGTGTTTTTGTCTTTTAACACCACAATGTGAAGGTAGCTCGCAACCGGAATCTGGATATTTCGCACTGAAGCCGGTTGTAAATTTGAGGGAAGTGGAGTGCGGGTTAAGGTCGCCATACATAAATCCTTTCAAACTACTGCCTCGTACTCTAGTAATGTCAAACATGATTTGACAATTCTGTATATAAGGCTAGTAAATGGGACGCTTCTAGTTGTAATCTACATGTATTTCAAAAAATGTCTAGTGAAAGTAGGACTTGCACTTAGGGGAACAGGAACAAAACTTGATAGTTCTTATGAAACTAAAATCGCGATTCATTGAAGTGTATCCTTGAATTGTTCCTGGAT